TGGTGTAGTGGAGGGTGTCCCTGCCCATGGCAGGGGAGTTGGAACTAGATGATCTTTGAGGTCCCTTCCAACCCAAACCATTCTATGATTCTATGATAATTCTACGAACAACAGCTGTAGACTCCAGGAACCTCAAAACCCCCAAGACTGTGGGGCATCTATGTCTTACGTGCAAGAGACTGGGATGAAGGAAGAGAGGCTCTTCTCTTAGAAAGCGCAGCAACACAATCACAAAAACTTGCATCGTTAACGTTACCTGTCCAGGCCGTGTGCGAGAGATAAACCTGAGTTATCAGTCTGTGCCTTCCAGGACCAGGATTTCGGAAGTCAGCTGGTTTCGGATGGATTAGTTGTGCTTGTCCATCTGGATAGAGTACCTACAGGGGTTAAAAAAAAAAAAAAAAAGGAAACAGCTGCATGACAACTGGACTGGGGCTTTGCACAGCGCGCGTTGTTTTGGTGGGATCTGCTTGAGTTGGCAAGGCAGGACAGTGTGCTTTACATTGGATCCAGGAGTCCAGACCCAGATTTAACGGCCACACGCTGGCCGTTCAGACCCAGCAGAGGAGGAAAATGTCCACTGACATCAGCTTCTTCCTCTGCATTGTAAACAGAGGTGGTAATTTCTTCGTTATGCAGTGAATTTGCATATTCTACTTGGCCTCACACCACCCCTACCCCCTCAGCTGCATTTGAAACTAGCAACTGAGCAGCAGGAAGGAAGTTCAGCTGGAAACACAGAGAACCTGGGTACTTCTGTACAGTTCAGAGCAGCTTCTTTCGCTCCTCCTTCTCCCACTACACAAGCTGGAAGTTCACCAGCATTTATTCGTGCTCACGTCCGTAACGTGCCCAGTGCACGTGGAAGCACTGTGGAGCATGGAATAGCATCCAAGTGCTCAAAGCAAACTCCCAGGAACTGTAGGCAAGTCAACTCCGTGCAGGTATACAAAGCCAATGTCTGAACGTGTGGTCACAACGCAGAAATCCAACATTTTTACTCAAAAAGTGTATAATTATTTGCTGTTTAGAAGCATTGACATCCTTAAACAAACTCTTCTTAAGATGCGATCTTGTTTGCATCTATGTCAAGCGACTGCTTACCTGAACTTTAACGGTTCCTTGGGGATCCTGCACATGTTCCAGAGTTGCATCAACATCCAGTGCCACCACCAGCCCCGAAGTAAACCTCAGAGGATTATCAGACTCACCAGTAGGCTCAATGATATTTGCAGTAGCTTTATGGAGCTACTGGGGGAAAAGCGGTCGGCAAGAATGAGGAGGTGGGGGGAGGAGGATAGAAAAAAAAATACAATTGTTACTGTTCTTGATGGAGAAGTTGTGCATGAACTTCTGATTCTTCTGGATACCGCCAGGAATTATTCAGTTATTTTTAGCAGTAGTCTTGGCAATACCAGGTAAGGAGAAGAAAACTTTGGAAGAAATAACACTTGGGACTGACCAAGAACCTGGATTCTAAAAGCTTCATAGAATCACTGAATGGTTTGGGTTGGAAGGGACCTCAAAGATCATCCAGTTCCAACCCCCCTGCCATGGGCAGGGACACCTTCCACTACACCAGGTTGCCCAAAGCCTCATCCAACCTGGCCTTGAACACTTCCAGGGATGGGCCATCTAGAACTTCTCTGGGCAACCTGTTCCAGTGCCTCACCACTCTCTGAGTGAAAAATTTCTTCCTTAGATCCCACCGAAATCTCCCCTCTTTTAGTGTAAATCCATTGCCCCTTGTCCTATTGTTACACGCCCTTGTAAAAATTCCCTCTCCAAGTCCTTCATGGTATATTAGGAACCACCAGATGCTGAAACAGTCTGGATATTCCATCTCTAATTCTCTGTGTTAAACTGACCTGCTCTGGAAGAGGGAGGTGGAGGAAGGTACTCTGTCGCAGCGTTGTCTGAAGAATCTTGACCACTTCTGACGACTTGGATGTCACAAGCCTGGGCATTAAGTCCAGCAATTTATCTACAAAACTGCCTTGCATATGTGGAAGCTCAGAGATGAAACATCTGCGTTAAGAATAAATTAAAAATCCAACACTTTTTTCAGTGTTTTCAACAGTAGTGTTATTTGCAGCCGAGCTACTTAATCCTTACATTTAGCTATAACGACAGAAGGAGATATGGAGACTGGTCTTCTGGTGCACATCTCACACGTAAGATAAAGATTATTCTGGCTTTTATTCTAGATTATTTCTAGCAACTATTCAGCTAGTTTTGCTGGGACAAAGATAAGATAAAGATTATTCTGGCTAGTTTTGCTGGGACAATACCTGGAGCTCAGACTGACAACATCAAGGGCTATTCAGGTCTCACTTCTCATGTCCTTCGTCAGTACGGAGCCCAGCAGGCAAACCAACCTAGATCCAGCAAAAAGGAGCTGGAAACGCTGAGGTGCCTGCCGACGACACGTTAACGGGAGGCTGACAGCGTAGGGATTTGCCCGCTCGGACTGCACGGGCAGCTGTCATGCTACGTAGACAGCAGGAGTGCTAATTGAATGAGACTACGGGCAATTCCAGTGCTCTGCATTCCATCTCCGTGGCAAGGCAAAGCACAGCTGGATGAAGGAGCCGGTCCTGCCATAGTCGCCTTGCAAACTTCTGGAATTGGTACTATCTCGGGGAAGATACACGGATGCCTCATTCTTTATGCTCTTGTGCTGGTTTGGGCTGGGACAGAGTTAATTTTCTTCACAGTAGCTACTACGGGGCTGTGTTTTGGATTTGTGCTGGAAACAGCGTTGATAACACAGGGATGTTTTCGTCACTGCTGAGCAGTGCTCACACAGAGTCAGGGCCTTTGCTGCTCCTCGCCCCACCCCACCAGCGAGTAGCTGGGGGTGGACAAGTTGGGAGGCGACACAGCTGGGACAGCTCACCCCAACTGACCAAAGGGATATTCCATACCATATGACGTCATGCTCAGCATATAAAGCTGGGAGAAGGAGGAAGGGGGGACGTTTGGAGCGATGGAGTGTGTCTTCCCAGGTAACCGTTATGTGTGATGGAGCCCTGCTCTCCTGGGGATGGCTGAACACCCGCCTGCCCATGGGAAGTGTTGGATTAATTCCTTATTTCGCTTTGCTTGTGCGCACGGCTTTGCTTTCCCCATTAAACTGACTTTATCTCAACCCACGAGTTTTCTCACTTTTACTCTTCCAAGTCTTGTCCCCATCCCATTAGGGGAAAGTGAGCGAGCGGCTGCGTGGGGGTTAGTTGCCAGCTGGGGTTAAACCACGAGAGCTGTGCACTGTCACCTGGCTAACTACACTACTGACTCCTAGGGGGATCTAACATACCCACCATCAAACACCTGAGCTGTCTGACCTTCTACTACAGCAGCTTCCAGAATGGTTCTTCTCTATCAATATTTATGAGAGTATTAATGATTACATCTGAGGAAAGTTTTAACAGTAAACTACAATCAGTAGGGAGAAAAAAAAAGAGCTAGTTCTAGAGGTCAAGAACAGAGAATAGAATCCATTGTATAGTTTGGGACAACAGTCTCTCGCTAGAAAATCATTTCATATTTCTTATTCTTTATAAAAAATTGGGCTACTACCCTACAATCGTACATTCATAGAATTGTTTGGGTGGAAGGGACCTCAAAGGCCATCTAGTTCCAACCCTCTGCCACAGGCAGGGACACCTTCCACTAGATAAGGTTGCCTCAAGCCCCATCCGACCTGGCCTTGAACACTTCCAGGGATGGGGCAGCCACAGCTTCTCTGGGCAACCTGTGCCAGTGCCTCTTCACCCTCTGAGTGAAAAATGTCTTCCTTGTATCTAATCTAAATCTCCTGTCTTTCAGTTTAAAGCCATTGCCCCTTGTCCTATCACTACACGCCCTTGTCAAAAGTCCCTCTCCAGCTTTCCTGTAGGCCCTTTAAGTACTGGAAGGCT